CAGAAAGTGACTTCTAGTGCGCCTTTCGTTGAACTGCTGCTCTGCTGGATGCGTTTCCCTGGAGTGTTGACTGTGGGCCGCTACGCCCATCCGCCGGATGAGCAGGAGGTACCACGGGCATAAGGGAGTCTTTGACGGAGTCCTAACCGTACCACCTGCCATCAATTTCAACCTTCAGGAAACCGACTTTGACCTTCCTCCCTTTCTTCCTCTCCTCCTTTGCAATGTTCCTCAACTTACTGGCAATGTTTCCCTCTCTCGTAGTCAAGTCAGAGTTTATGTAAATTGAGGTCCCCTCCAGCGCCGTTTTTTTCTGTCTCAAGATTCTTAATTTGGTCTCCCAGTCCTTTAGGGAGACAGTTATCACCTTGTCTGATTGGTTGTTTGACTGCAATGGAGTGATCTTAGAAATGCCTTCCACCACATTGAACTTGTCTTTCAGAAGATTCTGGGTCACCTGGACAGTCGCTTCCGGATCACACACCAAGCCTCTTACTATAACATTTAATCTCTTTTCTCTGCGCTCATTAGCATCTAGATCAGCCAGAGCAGAGTTCAACCTTTGTGAGAAGACGTTTTCCAGATCGGCGACCTGTTTATCATGTGCCTCGTTATTTGCTGTAAGCAGATGCGAGCTCATTTCAGCCCTCAACAACTCATCGATCCCGGGTATCGCCTCAGATTGTCTCGCCTCGATGACCAGCAGTCTCGATTCAAAGGCTGACCATTTGAGATCGTCTTGTTTGCGAAACAAGTCAAGACGATTGTTCAGCTCTTGAGAGAGACCTTCAATTTCGTTCCTTGATTCCTCCGTGACCTTTTTGATTATGTCCTCCTTCAGTACATTTACACGCTCGTCTGATTTTCTATCCATTCTCTCCTCTATACTCTGGAGTGCCTTCAAGATTACGTCACCCACGCTCATCTTTCCAGGTGAAGTGACCGATTTACAGGTGGGAGATGTGTTCAGCGAGACCGACTCAAACCGAATTTTACCCGGTGATTTTTCCGAATAGGCAAATTTTGCTAGGGTGGCTTTGACGGAGCCTAGGGATGGTTTTTTAACAGACTCGAGAGAACGTGGAGTTGACTCAGTGCGCCGCTTAATACCTCGGATCTGTGAGCCGGGAAACTCTGACCCCAGCGACCCAGTCCGGCTCCTATTAGCCAAACAAATCTCTGATTTTCCCCGGCTGGTGAAATAACGGCTGCTTAGCGGCGTTGAGGGCGGGGGCGAATCACGAATGATTTGCTCCAGATCTATCACAGTAGAACCCACTGACAATTCTGACAGTTTAGGCACGGAGCTGGTGGAACCACGCTGTGCCGTTATGCTGATTGGTGAGGAAAATTCACGAGAGGCTAGAACGCCAAAGGCACTGCGTGACCTGGCGGGCGAACAGCTGTCAGATGCGAAAGAGTTGAGAGACAGCAACGGTGATGACGTATGCGCTGAGGAGGGGAGCTGAACAGTAACGGCCGGACACGAGGAACGGGGAGTATCTGCTAGATTTGGCTCATGCATACCTCACGGATATACACAAGCGAGGCACGCCCGAGAGAGATGACCAGGAGAGCGAGCGAGAGGGCAACTGACTGGCTTCACACACATCCCCCGGCACAGTTTTTTAAATCTATCAAATGCCTGAGACCACTCAGGAACAAAAATCAGTCTGATTAATTATTTTTATTTTTATTTTTATTTAATTACTCGCACACTGGGGACCGCCCAAGGTGACAAAAAGGCACATATATGACAAATATGCTCCTCTGAAGTAGGAGCACTTTTACAGGATATATCACTCGGAAGCCCGGAAATTCGGGAACACAAATTCCTCATATACATTTGTCCACGCTCAAAAAGCCATTGCACATTTGAATTATAAACTATAGCCCACATACATAGCGTCTACTCCACAACACGCGTACCACGTGACCCCCCAAATCAATGAAGATTTTCTAAATCCGAGATAATAAACCGTTTGAAATCTCAGAAATGTCTTTCAGTTCTATCAATTCGTTGGATGTTTCTTTCGATGCGATTTTAATTTTTTTTTTAAGCAATACGCTGGAGCTTTGCCTCAGCGGCAATCGTTGGATCGAATCTTCATCCGGGAAAATCTTCAAGAAATATTAAATCTTTTTTTTTTTTAAATGTCCCACGTTTTTGTCGTGGAGTGGTCCCACGCCGTTGGTGAAACTCGAATATTCAATTACTTATGGCAAAACTCAGACGAAATTATCAGAAATACCAACGAAATTAATTCATCGCCATTATTAAAAAAACAGAATTTATATTCTAAATTAGCAACAATAATTTTCAACACTATTCCAAATTTATCTAGGGTTTTCTAGACCCTCAATTGCCAAGCTCAAATCCCCACAAGAGATGCCAATTGTGACGTGCTGCCTTCTGAGTGTCCGAAGGCAGGTCACAAGGTTATTTATTGAACTCTTCTAATCATGCATTCACTTCAAGCTATGTTACGCACTGGTAAAAGGTGATTAATCTAATCCAAAGGGGTGCAGTAGGGAATGGGTTCGGAAGACGTAAATTATTGTATGAGATATCTGAAGTACAAACAGTTTATTCCCTTCTCTCTCAACACAATTCGTACTATTATTTATCCCGATTGTTTTGCTAATTTTACCTCTAGTTCTCTCTCTCTCTCTCTCTCTCTGTCTCT